TTGAGTCAAGCGCACTCTACCGTGAAGTGGTATTTATCAAAATTAAGTCTCGAATCACACCACTAGTTGTACTTGAAACTAAGTTTCCAGAGGAGGTGCAATACAATATACACAATGTTAAGGCCGGAAAGGGAGTTTTGTTTTAAAAAAAGCGGATGACTCTAGCATATTATTAGTTATTTTGAGACGGCAGCTCCTGTCCCAAAGTAAGTCAAAATGCCTAAGTAACTTCCAATGTATGCTGTAGAGCTTACGACGCTACTTGCTAAAAAATATGAAAACGTCGGCATTTCCCTTACAAATATTGATTTTATTTTTCAAAGGGTTAGGGAGCATCACGAACTACGACTATTATCTTAATTCAGGACCTACTAATATCTGTCCTAAATACAGCTAGGTAGAACAGGCTTCTCCGGTAACATAATGACATACATGAATTTTGCTCAATTGGTGACGCAACTAAAATAAGCGCGTGCCTTTTTCACGTGGGCCTTGAAGGCGCCCAGCGACTGTCATACATTAGTGAGACTTTTGATGATTCATTCGTACTTTTCAAGTAACACTATAATCCAGACTGACACCACATCATGAGTAATCAGAAAGCCGCAAACAAATTGTGTTCGGGGCCAAATGCTGATCGTGAGACAGGGGGCGCCTACAGTGTCATATGATATTCCCAGTCGGCTTGCCATCATCCTGTTTGCTTATTCAGAGCTTTTAATTCTAATTTACTGTGAGTGAGTTTCCTGTCAGTTAGAAAATGCGAAAAATTGAAGACATACAACACCCACATAAATTCTGTGAGATTTTTTAACATTTGAACTTTTTATTTTTCTGCAATCAAAATCTCGCTCGCTGATGGCCAAGCCAAGCTATAAACGAATGTCTCCAGTTATGTTAAAAAATCACTTGACTCTTGTCTCCTAGTGCGTAGTTAGTTTGGTTTCTAAAGGCCAAAGTTGACCCATACAAATATTTAACTTGCATGTATGAAGTGCTCAATTGTCAATACATTGGTTTTTAGGGGATAGAGCAAAAGTATTTGAAGCCAGCCTTATTTAAAATTTATTATGCTTTTTTGTTATAAAATAAATAAATTCGCGAAATTATTACATAAAAAATCCTGAGGCTCGAACCCGCAATCATTTGATCAGATCGGGTAGGGTGCCACTTGTGTTTCAGAATGTCTGGCTGCTGATGTCTAATGTGCCACAAATGGCCATTCCAGTCACCTCTATCTTTGTCCACAATACTATCTCCCTAGAGATCTACCTGCTATGTGGCAGCTTGCGGGGCCCGACAATAAGCTCTATTGCAGAGCGGGACGAATAAGTTCGGTTGGCGATGTGTGAATGTTAATCAACGAGTATTAATAGGTTGTGCAATATAAGGCTATGACCGTTTCCTACTCTATAATACTGCATTCACAATCTCTTTTTCAAAGGATTAGTTGTAAAGTATGTATGTCAGGTCAGGAACGCTCGAAAGTAGTTTGGCTTGGGCCGGAATCATAATCAAATCGTAAATTATCATATATTTTTCAATGAGATGGAAGTGTTCATTTAAATTGCTTAATTTTTTGCCATTTTATTCTATACTTTTCTAAATAATTTAACAATGTTAAGGTAACCAACATCAATTTGGATAAGCTAGAGTTGATAGTACCCTTTGGCTGGCTAACGCACTGATTTCTCAGGACATCAATAAAGATAATATCTGTAAAAGTATCATTTCTTAAAAATGGATGAAAACGAACTGCCTAGCAGAAATAGCGCCATTCACCACAAAAGGTTTATTTTGGTTCTTTGGTTTTTGAAATTTCATCGGCTACTCATCTACAAAGGCTGGGGAAAACTGAGCACTTATTGCATTGTGTACCTCATTTCGCCTGAAGATAATCCCGAGCATTCGGTCTTATGAGTGGCATGCCTTTCAGGTACCCGAATCAAGAGTTCGTTCAGATGGGACAATGGCGGGCCTTTCTGGGTATAAAAAGATGTTCGAGGTCTGGTTTGATATTTACCGAAAGTAAAAATCTGAATTACTCACAAATATAATCAAACTACGCCGGCAAATGATGTGAGTTAACAAAACTATCCATAAATTGGAAAAACCCACTGTTGTCTACTGAATTCAGTGCAGCCGAATTAGGCGTAATAACGCCGCAGAAACTGGAAGATGGCTGCAAACGCTAATACACAACCATTGTTTTGCTATTCAAATTTTGTGCGCAAAGTTGAGGTTATCAACCTGTTTCTGACATTTGGGACCTGTTATCGACTTTCCTTTCATTAAGATTGTGCGCCGAGATGAAGATCATATACTAAGGGAAATTCAAGAGGTCCAAATATAAGCCGACTGCTCAGAGAATCATCCCACAATAAAAGTGAAGATGCGAGTCCCAGGAAGTAATTGAGAAGAAAGACTCGATCGCTGGGACAATACTTTTATTCGCCTGACGTTTCGATATCCGTTTTGATATCCTTATATGCTATTGCTCTCTGTCTCTAATGAAGAATCCGCGACGGATGTAGAAACGTCAGGCGAATAAAACTATTGTCCCAGCGATCGAGTCGTCTTCTTCTCAATCACCATGCAAACATTCCACACCCTATCGAGTCTAATAAAATTAGACAGGAGACACTGAAGGCTGCAAAAAATTGAAATGACAATTACTACCACGGTTCTCAAAATTGGATTCGTATCTGCCAAGTTTTTCACAGGATGGTTCATATCTGTCATGATAAAGTAGAGTTAAACTTCGTGTGCACTGACCTTTGAAGAAGGCAGAATGGGCAGTGTACTGAAAGCTGTACAGGGGACTCAGTTTTGGAAGATGAATAACCAAAATCACTACTCGAATTGCCAGAACTTATGCAATAAAAAAACCTCTCCCTTTTTGTCGTTCCACGTGGTTGCCGCATTTTTCAGTACCAAGAGTCAATATTTGCTAATATTTTCTGACATTGAGCCGTCGGTCTGGGCCACCATTCTGTTAAATTGAAATTTACACACGGCATCTAACAACTGATCACTAGATTGGATGTCACTGAGAAACGTTAAACACGTCTTGCATATTAGCAATGAATGGACATTTCTATCAGTTTCACACAGTATTAAGAACAGGTGTCCTGACTTGCTTGAAAAAATTGGGTTCGTAACTGTGTCCAGATGCGGAGTTGTTTTTCTGACCACAGGGTCGCTGGCATAAAACTTATTAAGGCAGGTAGTTTACTTCTTATCAACCTTTTTAAAACTATCGCTGCATTCTACAAGTTGCACGCGTATCACAGTTATTGATTTGTGCACCGCTTGTGTATAGTGATTTCTGGTATGTCTATCAATGTTTCAGGCATGTACTTGATATAGGAAGTGTTCATCTGCCTGTCCGTTTGGGTGCCTGAAAGACAATGTCCAGTTCGTCATTATTCGTCATGTCTTAGGCTTCTACATAAAAAACAAACTCAGCTCTTCATAATTGATAGATGTACCACACGTTATTGCATTTATAGGGATAATGGTCAGATTAATTTCATGTTGATACAGGTCGGTTTACCTCTCTCATCTATGGAGAGATGACCCGATTGTGTACCAAATACACAGTCCTTCAGATAACGCAGTCTGTCATGATAAGGTGTGGAAGCCTTGGTTTTGGACAGTGCGTGGTGCCGATCCTGCGCTGTCTTTAAAATCTAGCAGATGCTTCGGAAGCACCATCGCTTTTCTAGTCGTTCGCCAGGCTTTCGGTTGTTCTGCAACAAGACTTTAACGTAATTTAGACGAAAACACGCGTGCAGTGAAGTTTTCAGGATATCTGTCGGCTATAAAAAGGCACCTGAAAACGCCCAAATTGTGATAGCTTCTTCGGGCTTACTGTTACTTATTTAGTTCCTTCTGAAGAGCAAATGCACTGAACTAATATTGTGGCATAAGATTTGACTTCTGGTAGCCTGTTAACACATTGTCAGTTGAGGGATCCATCGACTTTTAGGTGGAGGTGAACGCTCAGAAACGGCAAATAGTTCCGCATTTATCCCCATAAGAAACCAGACGGTCGGAAAAATTACTTCATGCATTGATCTTCACTCGTAGTCCATAAAAGGTGTCATTCGCATATCGAGGCCAAAGGTGTGACTGGTTCTTTGTGAAAACTAATGTGTCTGAGAGGACGCTCGAGATCGATGATGCCGTTTGTGCCACCACTGAGCTGCTCTTCAATTAACTTTTATAATTGCTAGAGATGCCTTATGTTCACTCTTCAGTCGACAGAAATAAAGGGGACTGAAGAATAAAGAGAGTCGGACACCGGAACGATTTGTTTTTTATCCCGAGCTTTCGGACTCCAACAAGAGGCGATCGTCAGAGATAGAAAACAGCAACAAATGGGGAGCTATATAAGGTGTGTGTACCAAACAAAAGTCTGAACGCGTAGAAAATCAATAATTGTTTGGTGTGGGGCGATGACTGGTCACTGCGGCCTATGTCATTCTGCGCCAGTAGGCGAGATCGGCGTGTTGGGTGGGCATATTTACAGAAATGAAATCGTCAACGAAACCAAGCAACATTTACAGGAGGAAGGGTCAATTAAACGTCATAGGGGATCGGGGAGAAGGAGGGGAAAGGACCACTTAACTACCAGTGCCGTGAGTCTGAAGATACCTTCGCAGGGTAACATATGCGGACGCCAGCTCGATACATCTGTTGACTGAATTCCCGTCCGTGGACCTGGCCTTAATAAGTTCTCGACCCGTCTTGCTGCCAGCGTGGGCAATTATCCTCGCGGCTGCGAAACTGAACTAGTGACTTGTCTCGTCACGGCAATGGTGGTTAATTCGTCCTCTCCCCTCCATTCCCACCCTCCCCTATGACGTTTAATTGACCCATCGCCATATAAATGTTGCTTGTTTCCGTTGACGATTTTATTCTTGTAAATATTCTCACCCAACACGCCGATCTGGCCTACTGGCGCCTACTGGATATAGCCGCACGAGTCAGCGCTTATGCAAAAGAATACGGGAGCCCTTCCCAGATGGTTGAGCAAAGGTGAAGTTGGAGGCATCAACAACGTCATTCTTGCTCACATGGTTAGCTCCGGATTTCGTGTGGACACCAACGAAGCCTTCAAGGTGATTTACAAAATTCCACGAAACTTTCAAAAGTCCCTGGGTGAGCGTTTGCTAACAACAGTGGAAGCAACCGCTCTGCGGTTGAGGAAGCTGGTTCAATGCGCGAAAAAGGACCTCCCGCAAGCCCCCAGCATGGCATGGCCAACAGTTACAAAACTTCTGCAAATATTCCCATTCTTAAGTTGAGAAGTCAAGTTGGCAAACATATGTTTTCAGCATATCATCAGGCCAGTACATTTGCAGGATAATTTAAACTGTACAGTTGGACAGTGTTAAATCGTGAAGTCTAATTTATATTCATCGTTTACGCGTCGCCAGCATGGTGAGTTCGGCGTATAGGGGTTCGTGTGTTGGGGTAAGGGGAGGTAATTAGGTTAGGTTGCGGGGGTTGATCAGACGGCAGATACATGGAGGGATAATTGCTGTTATTTGCGCGAAGTGAACGACGTTCACTGGGGGGTTGGGGCAGAATGGGATCGCCACAATTCATGCAATGTACAGTTTCTCTGCAATGGGCGATTTTACAGACAGATAGATGGTGTGGCATTGGGCTCACCACTTAACCCGTTTCTCGCATATGTCTTTATGGGTAAGATCGAGAAAACGAGTCTAAAGGACACCATAGATGACCTTGCGTTCTACG